TTGGTCAGCGGCTCAGGCTGACTGGGCTGACACGTGTCTGACACGTGTCTGACACGTGTCTGACACGTGTCTGACACGTGTCTGACACGTGTCTGACACGTGTCTGACACGTGTCTGACACGTGTCTGACACGTGTCTGACACGTGTCTGACACGTGTCTGACACGTGTCTGACACGTGTCTGACACGTGTCTGACACGTGGCTGACGTGTCGGCTGACGTGGTACGCGCGTGTATTACACGCGCCTTCCCCCACTCGTCTTCTTCCTCCGTCAGCGCGTGTGGCGCGTGGATGAGAGTGGGACCACGCGCCGGGTGCCTGAACGGCGCGTGTGGGCGCGTGTCGAGACTGTGACTCACGCGCCAACTTCTAGGAGCGCGTGAGGGCGCGTGGAGAGGCTTCTGGGCTCTGTTTTTGCTGTTCTGGACTCCTCTCGGGGAGTTCTTCCTCCTGGTATGGTCAAAAGTGGATTTCGACCACTTCGAAATCTGGACACTTTCGGAAAAAACTCGATTTTTTTCCACCCGGGCTCTGATACCAATTGTTGCGGATCTTGGGCACACCAGGGGACACTCACAAGCAAAAACACAAGACTTTTAACGTGGTTCGGCAAACCGGCCTACGTCCACGGGAGCGATGTTGTTATATATCAACAAATGGAGGAGATTACACACTCTCAACTCACTGTCTCTCTATATAACACACTCTCTCACACTCTCTGATACACAAACAGAATATAGCTCTCACTAGCTCTCTCTGTTTTGTGCCTCTCTCTCAGCAGTGTGTTTCTCTCTTGCTTGCTATGTTTGCCGTGTATTCAACTCACCATCACCATTCCATTTTATACACCAAAACAGAAGGTGGAGGAGGCCTCATGGGTGTGTTGGCTGCCAGCCCAATATTCTCCTTTGAGCTGCTGTCCAGTTGAAAGCTTTGTCCCACCATGTGAAGACTTCACATGGCCAACTCCATGCTTTCTCCTTTGTTGCTGGCGCATGGCAAGCCTCATGGCTGCCAACTCAAGCCTTATGGCTTGCCAACTCATGCCAACCTCTTTTGCCTTCCTTTTACCATGTGGGTTGGCCACCCTTCCATGTGGCTGCCAACTCAATTTGGGTTGATCTCCTACAGTTCTGATACCACAAAATAGGTTGTCTTCACTCTATAATAATCATAGGATCCATGAGCATGGTAGTCGGGTCTGGAGCTCCCATTTCTTTTACTGATGGCATGGCTCAGCAAGTAAACAAGTCTCAAGAGATGGTAGAAATTTAGTTTGATTTGTATTTAGTCTTGCTCTCCCTTGCCATTTTGCAAATAGCTACAGCTGACAACACTACAAAAAATTACACTTTTAGCAACCACTTTGGGCGACGATACCAATTTTTCATAGCAAAAAGTATATTTTTGGCGACACAGTGATCAATTTCGTTGGTAAAAGTAGACCTTTAACGACGCAATTTACTATCGTTGCTAAAAATGTGTAATATTCATTAGGCGCCTAAATTTTTGGTTGGCGCCAAAATTTTGAAAATTTTAGCGACGAAGGTTATTTTTTGGCAACGTGATAAGCGTTGCTGTTAGTCTGTTTATTTTTGGCAACAACAAATTGGCGTTGGCAAAGAAGTAAACATTTAGCGACGACAAAATTATTCTTCGACAAAAGTTGAGATGGCTTTGATTTTCTAAAACTTGTTTTAGATTTCTTTTAAAAGACTAAAATTAGTTTCGTGAAAAATTTAAAAATATCTAAGAGTTTGTTTGGTTTTGTTTTCTAGAATTCACTTTTCAAAATATTCTATTTTCTTGTTTTCTGTATTTTTTTTATTTTTACTAAATTTTTTTAATTTTTAGACACATCTAAAAGAAATACACCTAAAAAGTATAATTTTGTGAAAAAAAAATCTTTTAAAAATTCACTAAATATCAAAAATACAGAAAAAAAAAATAAAAATTTAGTATTTTTTTTGTATTTTTGTGTATTTATTAATCTTTTAAAATATTTTTCACAAATATTTTACTTTTTAGATATATCCAAATAATGTGCATCTAAAAAAGTAAAAAAAAAAAATACTTAAAATTTAAAAAATGTTCACTAAAATTAAAAAAAAACAAAAAAAAATTAATTTAAAAAAAATTAAATTCAGAAAACTAAAACTAAACACACTGAAAAATACCTATCAATTTTATATAATTTTACAAAATATATGAATAATTTTTAATTTTAAAATATATTTAAAAAGAATGGAAAGCTTTTTCTGAATAAGTAGAAAAATAATAATAATAAAATAGAAAGTTGAACTAAAACCAAACAGGGACCTTGATTTTTACCTTCCCACCTAATTTCCCCCGTGTTTTTGCTGCTAGGTAAAACCCCCATTCTCTTCACCTTGCACATCCATTTTCTCACGATTGGAAGTTCTCTCTCTCTCACAATCACACGTCGGCGTAGACATTTGTTGACCGTCGGGTTTTCGCCATTTACCGTTGCTGTGCTACACCATCGCCTCTTGATTCTGGCTCGGTAGGTTCATCTCCTCTTTGCTCTGTATTCTACTTCTCTCTCTCTCTCAATTTGTTATTTGAATCTCTGTTCTATTTGCTTTGTATTTCCTTTGTTTCAGTTATTTGTTTCTTTGTCAAGGGTTCATAACATAACCTGCAATTCTATCTGCTTTCTATTGAGTTTTGAACTAGAGAAGAACCATTATATCTCTAGCTTCTAGTGAATTGCTAGGGTTTTTTTAAGATTTTTTTTTCTTGCTCATTTGATGCTATTTCTTATTAGATTGCACTGCAGGAACAATGTTTCTGATTGAATTGATAAGATTGATTTTTTTCAATTCATATTATTATTCTTTGATGCTATTTTTTTCCTGCTTTGTATTTCTTATTTTTTTTTCTTCTTTTTTTTTTCTGAACTTTATTCTTTTCTGAACTTTATTCTTTTTATTTTTTTCAATATGTATCACCAACCGAATCTACAACCCTCAATTTTTTTAAAGAATGACTCTGTTCCCACTAAAACAAGCTAAAAGGGTCACCCAATACGCTTCATTTTATGGAATTTAAGCCTCCCACCCACATTCAACTGGTGTGCTTCTCTCCACTTTGTTTAGATTCAATGTTGACTTTGAATTTTGTGGGAGAAGTTGTGGGCCTCCACAACAATGGACTCCACTGTGATCCTTACAACTTCCCTCTCTAAATCTGAACTAGACATTCACTCTAACTACGAAGATGTTAATATCATAATTAAATTACTTTAAAAAAAAAATTAACTAGAAGAAAGAGAAAAAAAAATAAAAAATCAGTATACTTCTATACTATCATATAGTCCTTTCACATTTCACTCATCTTTTCATTGGAGCACAAGAAGAAAGAAAGAAAGAAAAAAAAAAATGAAGAATACAAACTACTTTTCATTAATTTCAAAACAACTTTTATTGATTTCAGAACTTCTTCTAATCTTTTCATAATTTCAAGACAACTTTTATTGTTTTCAAAATTTCTTCTAATCTTTTCACAATTTTTAAAACGCTTAAACTACAGCATTTCTCTTTACATTTTGTAGAAATAACAATTATTGATAATATTTCTGGGTGCATCATAATTATCATCTTGCTGATTTGGAGGATAGCCTTTTAACTTTTGGAAAGTGAGTTTGCTTTTTTATTTTATTTTATTAAAGGCATTAGAAGTGTGATTTATTTGGTGGAAAGAGAGTTATGAGTGGGTTTCCTTCTTATTGTTGGAGACTCTTGCAATGTAAGTACCGAGGAGAGGAGGTATTATTAGTGTCAATTAAGAGAAAATGACATATTTCACATTCATCAAGTCTCTCTCCTCTACTATATATGACTTCCAATTAAGCTCTTCGGAATTAGTTGCATTTTTTATTTTTTGTGCGTCCATAATTTGAGAAAAATGGGAAAAGAAGAATCACATCACAACGCTCTCACACGTACAAGTCTGTATGGAGCTCACTATGTCTAATTCGGAGACCAAAATTTGTGTGTAGCTTTAAAAAGTTTAAATTAATATAAGTAGCAAATGTAGAAATGCGTATTGAGGGTTGTGAAGTGTGAACTACACACCAGAATTCCTTCAAAGCAACCCATCAATGAACAATTTCAAACAGACTTGCTTGTTATGCCTACGTTGATTATCCTCTATTGACAAGCATCAATTGGTAATTTTTTTTCCTCAGGAAAATGTAACTTATGTGCACTTTGTTCTTTATTTATTGGGCTGAAGTTGGACTACCTTGCATTTTAAATTTTAATTACTTTCATGTATCTTTTAAATGAATCTTTTTTCAAGGTTCCTCTTTAAATTGTTCAGATATCAGAGCACATTGAAGATGCCACTGTCTACTTAGATGCAGGATGTACAGAGAGTTTCGAGTTTCTTGGGGCATACCCTCTGCTACTAGAAGTTGGAGCACATGCTGTTTGCAGCTTGGAAAACATGTCTTCTCTTGATATGGTGAGAGAGGTTTAATTGTGTGAATATTCACTATGTTGGCTGTCAGATGTGTTATTAACTTTTAATTGTATTTTATTTTATATTTATATTTTCCATGTTGAAGCTTTCCGAACAGAAAGAATGCATAACTGCATATAAGGAGTAGATGTTTGACAATTCTTTTGGAAATTGGAATTATAAAAGCAAGGGAGAATATTATTTAGTTAAATGTGGTTGTTTTTTTTATGCTGGATTGCATCTGAATAGGGACTGAGAGTAGGAACAGATCCTGCTTCCAGCCCCAATCCATGACACCTAGTTGGAACAGACAGCTGAGCATTTGTCTTCACACTGCCATACATAGCCACAGGTACATGGTTTGTTTGGTTCATCTGTCTCTTAAAGTGCCAGACTATTCTATTGTTGCACAAAAAAAGAAAAAAAAAATGTACACCATGTTTAGTCCTGCGTTGGAATTTTGAAAAAAAGAGTAAATTACACTGTTGTCCCTTGAACTAAACCATTTTGTATTTATTCTTTCCACTGCAATGTGTGTGAAATTTGGTTGACCTGTAGGTTCCATGTGTTACATGTCTGGGTCTATACAAATGGAGAATGTGTACGTCCTCAAAAATGAAGCAGGCATGTGGCAGTGGCTATTTGGCAAGAGTATGACTAGCATAATTCTTCTCAATATCGGTTCAAGTGATGGATTTGCCGGAATTACTGCTCCTTTAGCCAGAATTCTCCCAATTCGGATCATGCCAAATTTTGGGTTATTAGTTTCTTTTTTTGGTTCTAACTCTTGGTATTTGATCATGACTGTGAATTCATCTCATATGTCACCAACTTGGTTTCTTTTTATGTTATTTGATTTGAATTATCTTATTTTTACTTATCAAAATAATTGAACTTTATTTTGTAGATTGATTTAGCAATGTTTGGTGGTGAACTATTGTGTCAGGTACAGCTAATTCATTGTCTATTTTTCTCTTGTTATGTTAAGAAATTATTTGAAATTCTTTTTTTCCTTATTTTACTGTTGTCGCTTGGGATATTTTTCTTTTCTGTCAATGCCTTAATTACCTTTTAGAATTACTTATGGTAATTGAAGAACCATTCTGATACAGTTTTTAGACAATTAAGCCATTTAATTGACAAGAAGTGGAATAGTAAAGAATTCATGGTATAATGTTTTATGTTAATTGTCAAAAATTTATTTTCTTCTTACTAATGTTAAGTTTTGTTGTTTTTATTGGTGTTTCAATCGTGTAGGAACAATCACTAACTAATGTGAATAATAGGATGCAAATGAAAACAAAACATAGATGTAGATCAAAATCAATCCCGGTTAGGGTGCATAGCTCGGTGCGTTCTACTATTTTATTTTATTGGATTAGTAGGCTTTGTTATTTAAATATTTGAAATAACATTCTAAAACAAATGAATCAGATAATTGCAAATGGAAAAGTGCCCGAATTGGCAGAATTTTACAAGGCCATCCACTTTAATTCGAACACACAAGAATGGATTTCGTCACAGAGCCAAGCTAATTATGTATGTACAAGGCTATGCATATTAATTTTGATAAAATTATTTATTTTGCTTTGTAGGGTAGAATAACTAATAATTGTTCGATTTATTTTAAATTAACAGGACAACATGATGCAGACACAAGCAGAACATCTCTCGCAGACTGGTGTGATCCCCTTGAGCTCAGAGGAGTTGTCAGTCAAGGTGCTTAAGCCAAGGTCAGGTTATATGAAAGGACTCGGAATGAGGCCTCCTTCTTCTATGAAGACTACTGTTGCACCTGCTGAAAGTAGTGACTATATTCAATGCCTTCAAATGCAAATAGCACAGCAAAATGAACAAATTGCAAGGTTTCAACAGTCAGAGAAGAAACAAAGCAAGAAGATAGAAAGTATCATAGACTGTTTGAGGCAGAAAGGTATCACGGGAAATTTTGAGAGTGGGGAAAGTTCAGATTCTGATGGACAAGCTTCTTGATTAGTATATTATGTTTATATGTTAATTTAGTAGAAAATTTCTTCTTCAACTAGAGTAGAATAAAAAAAACTACTTTTGACATTTATGCACAAGGTCTTGGGAAAATAATGAAATATGCATGTAAAGGCAAACACCTTGAGACGGAGCACCATAAGATGATGCATGTAAAGGCCCACAAAACATCACAAACACCTTGAGATGGAGCACCATAAGATGTGCAAACTTACGAAATAAGCATGTGACTCCTAGTTTGAAAACTACTTTGAATTATGTCTTTTTCCACCACTTAAGGTTGAAAATAGGCCATTAAGGGACAAAATAATGAAATATGAACAAGAAGGCCTGGGAAACATCATGAACACCTCGAGAGGAACCAATGTAAATTGTGAAAACTTATAGAACAAGCATGAGACTCCCAATTTAAAAACTACTTTGAAATTTGTAAAGTTCCAACACCTACGCATGAAAATAAGCCATCGAGGAGCAAAATCGTTAAATAGGCAAAAAAAAGTGTAGAAATTATCATGGACACCTTGGGAGGGATCAACATAAGTTGTGAAAACTTACAAAACAATCATAGGACTCTCAGTTGGAAAACATTTAGGCTTGAAAATAGACCGTTAGGGAGTAAAATCTTGAAATAGTCGTTAAAAGGCCGGGAAACATCATGAACACCTTGGGAGGAACTAATGTAAGTTGTAAAAATTTACGGAACAAGCACGGTAAAATTTGGATTGATGACAAATGTGGTGACGAAATTATTTCGTCACGGATCGATTTGGTGACAAAAATTTCACTATTGGAGACGAAGTGATTTTGTCATTAAAGAACCATTTTGTTGTAGTAAATGTCACATCAAATCCATAATCATTTTACTTTTTCTCTCACAAACATCACATCCAACTACAAAAAAATTCAATCATCTTCCAAATACAAAAATTTTGACCTACTAAAGCAGTCAAAACTAAAATAGCTTACTAAAATAACTTCTCAAAAACCCACAATGTGTGATCCACGTTACGGCCATCGTCACAGTTAAAATGAATTAATTATTTAACTTACATAATTAACGTCTTTGTCTTTATTCAACTTTTTCATATTTTAATTCATCTTTTTAATAAATGCTTTTAGATTAATTTGAATTTTTTTGAATTAATTACACTAAGATCCTCACAGCTATTAACTAGTATATCATTTTAGCCCCTCATCTATGAACTTATACAAACTGACTTACTAAATTATACAAATGATGCCAATGCACCTCTTTTGAAGGTGGTTTGAATGGGATAAAAATGTTACATTTTCAATGTTGAGGGAGGTAAATCTACAAATTCATAGATAAGAAGGGTAAGTTGATATTTGCTAAGATTTTACTCTTCAAGTGTATTCACTACTAAAAATTAGAGTTTTTGAGACGGTCTTAAATGTCGCAAAAGGTTCACATATTGTCGCAAAAGACCTTTTGCAACGGAGTAGTGACGGGAAATGGGGGGTGGTGGAAAGGGGCGTGACAAAAGGTATTTGTGACGGTTATGAACCGTCGCTTTCCTGTAGCGGCGGTTAATCAATGGTTTTTGCGATGGTTTAACCTGACACAAAAAAAAAGGGAAAAAAAAACTTCACTTTTAGTGACGATGTTGATTGCCATAGCAAAAAAATTTTTTTGCGACGGTATTTAACGTCGCGAAAAGTATTATTAGCAACGGACTAAAACATCGCCAAAAAAATTAAATTAAATTAATACCATATTTTGCAATAGTTTAAATCGTCGCAAAAGAATTGAACTAATTTGTATATGCGACAGGTTAAACTTGTCACACCCCAAATCCGGGTATGACCGGCCGTGGCCCACAGGGACTCAGCCCAAGGCACACGTAAGCCTAACCACTAATCCATAATCACATTGAGCAACTATACAAAAGTCCAGTAATAAATAACCAAACTCAATCCAGTGACATGCCACAAGTATAAACGGAAAAACCAACCGTAATTGGGCTCAACCTGGGGATTTCGGCTATTCGGCACTGTTATGTTATGGAAAAGTCAACTGGTTGTCAAGACTGTTATTTTCACAAAGCCAAGGATATAGATCACCACTTGGTGACTATGCTTGCCAGCTCTGGGAAAAGAGTTGACGATGTTGTGGTTGTTGTTCGAGGAAATTGGGAATTCGGCGAGGGAAAGGATCGGTAAGACCCTGTGCCTAGACGGAAAGGCGAGCCAGGTGGCTGAATAGTTGGTTTAAAATAAGATTTAAGGGTGGTTTACGACCCCACCTACTCAACGTTTTCGGCCCCTGACCATATTCATGTGCCGAGGGGAGAATAGTAATTGACGGCACTTGTTTTCTCCAATTTCAAAAGCTTTAGAGATATTGGCCTCGAAGGTTCAAACGCCGAGGAGACTGCACCTGAAGACTGTCTAGAAGAAGAGGGCCCAGACGCCGAAGATTTTGGACTTGAAGTCCATTTCGAAGACCAAGACCAAAACTTAAATAGTGAGCTTGAGTTGGCCTTCGAGTAGTGTATCCCAGAGGGTGGCGGCCGACCCTCTACTTTTGGCCGAGCTGCAGTTGCCTCTCTTAAAGATGATATTTTCATCGAATTAGGAGATTTGCCTGGGGTTAATTCTGAAGAGATGGGTGGAGAGTCACTTGCCCAATTCACCAGACGGGAGAATGCCGAAAAAATGGCAGCAATGAGGAGAGCTAGTACTGGGGGTGGCCTGGAAGCTCCCCCTCTAGTGGTCGTTCCAGAAACTGCACAGCTGATTGTGGATGAAGTTGCCGAAGTTCCTAGTCGGCAACAAACAAAAACTTCAGGCTTTGAGTAAACTGAGCAAAGAGGTGAAAAATAGCCCGCCGAGACCCTTGCTGAATCATCAGAAGAACCAATTAACAAACGAAAAAGGATGGAGGCATTTTCCCCGGCCTCGAACTCGGCCGAGCAGTTCATCATCCAGCCTAGGGATGAAGAGTTCGCCAATTCTGGCCAGTGGATCGGCCATCAAAGATACTGTCGTTGTATTAAGTGTTGCGTCGGCGTTTTCACTTCCATCTGAGAGGTCCACCTTTCGTGCGGAGCCAAACGTTTCCATTGCTTTTGCGGCACAATCGACAATATTGGTAAGTCACTTTGGATTGTATACATCGTTCTTATGTCGACTACTAACTTTGTTATATCATGTTTGGTAGGCAGCGGAGAGGATCGCGAAAATCGGCCTTTGGCATTATGACGTCGTGGAAAGACTCGGCGTTCTAGAAAGCGAACTTGCAGAGGAAAAACGCAAGGTTGAAACTACTATGGCCGACTTCCTAATGGCAACACAGAAGGCGGAAGCCAAATCCAAAAGAGCTAATGAAGAAGAGCTGAGAGCGGATGCCGAACAGAAGAGAACCAATCACGCCGATCTGCTCTTTCAGGCCGTCGAAGAAAGGGCAAACAATATAGACCGCGAATTGAAGTTGGCCAAGAAAGAAAACGTTAAATTACAGGCTGAGTTAGAGAAATCGAAAGAGGCGCTGGCACGTGCGGAGGTCGATGCAACTAAAGCATACGAAGCCGGAGAAACGGCAACAAAAGAGCTATATGCAGATGAGGCGTTGAAGTTTGAGAACCACGGCTTCAAGCACGGCTGGCTGAAGGCGTTGAAGTTGGCTCGATTACCTTTCAGTATTAAATCTTCTTCTCTCAAATTTTGAGATTTAGGAATTCTGCGTTGATACTTTATTCTTAGTATCTGCCCCTTGTGGGCGTAGGTCATTTTCCAAAAGGTCGTGATACCCAGGATTTTCATCTTGAACCTCTTCTGCCATGGCTATCATCCGCTTTATGAAAATCCTATGCATTTTGATCTTGATTAGTATATCCACCATTGAAGTTAGGGTTGTCAAAAAGTTGGCAAACCAGTTATTCGTTCTGACTAAGTGGGTGACTAAGTTTGAGTATTAGATCATATTCAACCTTCTTGCCCCTAGTTCTAGAGCAGCTTCAAATTTGGCTTGCAAGCCTCATACTTTGGTTGATTTTGGACACTCTGAATCAAGGTTTGAAAGCTAAGGGGTCGAGCCTCAGGTCGAGAGGGATCTATGTTGTATGATCTTAGGATCAGTTCCAAGCATGTTTTTGTAGGACCACGCAAAAATATTTTTTGAAATCTTTTAATAAAATGACAAATCGCTCGCACTTCTCTGAAGACAATGTACAACTAATCTGGACCAAGCCAGAATCCTTCTTAGTAGCCACATTAACAGAAATGATCTCATCCATCAAGGGCTTAGCATACCACTCTTCCTCTCAGTCGATCAAACTTTACAAATCCCGAGGAATTCCTTTGTCTTCGTTTTTATCAAAGTTTTGGAAAAAGTTTTAAAATTTTTTGGTCAATGCAATGATTTACAGGCATAGAGAAGTAGGCAAAATTTACTGCATTTTCGTTCTGAACTTTTGGCTCAACGATCGAAACAAACTCAAGAGGAAAATGAAATA